CTCAGCACGCAAAATTCCCTCCCACCGCCCCAACAACCTTGAATGGTCTCTTTCCTCTGAATCCCCAGCAAAAGGACCCCAGACATATGTTCTGGAATTCTCTCAGTTTCCTAGGCCTTCATGCGGAAGTAGTTTGACACTCAGTAAGGAAGGTTAGGGTGCAGTGAGGGGGAAGGAGACCTTCAGTGGCGGTGTACGATGTCTCCAATCACTGAGACAAAGCTGTCTACCTGCATCAGGTTCTCAGGATAGTCTCGGTGTCAGTCTGCATTACACACCCCCCCTTTCGCCAACAGATTCTCCTGACAGCTGCCCCACCCCCAGGGCTCGCTCCCCCTCAGCCAAGCAGCAAACCATATCCTACTCCCTGTGCGCACTCATCCCCATTGACCAAAGCACTGGAGCACAGACTTACATCAACATTTTCCATACTGTACATTGGAGAAAACACTCAAGCGTGCACGTCATGCAGTTTTGTGTCTCGAACTTTGGATTTTTCATAATGAACTGGTTATTCTGATACTGCATGTCCCACATCGGTCATAAAATGTCTTTGTTCTTGGACATTGCTTGCTTGGAGTAACATGTGTGTCATTACTGGTTTTAAGCCTGTAAAGAACTGTCTACCTTGCAGGTCATACTTAATTCCCCCCTCCCCCCCACACACACACACACAAAATATACAGAGAAACAGGATCTGGCCCCACCTGTTTGAATCAGCTGGTGTCCACACCAAAGTCGGCTAACGGGTGGCGTGTTTGTCCCCATCGCCACAAACCCCCAGCTGCTACCAGCAAGTTATGAAGAACAGGCGGGCATTTCTATTTACCAAGCAGATCCACAGCATGATTGACGTACCTCGAATACTCTGGCATCAAGAGAGGTGTGACTACACTGACAAAGTCAGATTTGGTATTTCAACACCAATTTCATGAGTACAAGATAAGATCACTTTATTGGCCATATACAATTCCTTGTATTAGGAATTTGTCTTTTCGCATACCCCAACTTGCTCTCCATGAGACACCCAGACAGGGAGAGAAGTCTGGGGTCAGAGCGCAGGGTCAGCCATTTATACGGCACCCCTGGAGTAGGTGGGGTTAAGGTCCTTGCCCAGTGGAGTAGGATTCCTCTGTCGGCCGCGGGATACGAACTGGCAACCTTCCAGTCACAGGGGCAAATCCTAAGCCAGAGAGACCACCTACAAAGAAAAAGAACAAAGAAAAGAATGGCAAAACTAACAGCCATGGATAGGTTTTATGCCATTATTAGATCTTATCAGTGGGACAAAATTCATGGTTATGGTCAGAGCTAATTAATAGAGGCTGCTTGCTTTTAAATAAGGGCTATACTAAAATATATACATATACTAAAATATGTACAGTAGTATAGAAAATTAAACACATCCTACTCCCACGCTTCATTACTATTGAAAGATGTATAGAAACTACAGTTTCTGGTGTCAAGAGGGCCTTTTTCCACATTGCAAAATGATTAGTTACATTATGTGAGAATGTAACCAATGTCAGTCCTAGGTTTTGTTAATCAATGGTAAAATCCATAGCAGTTGTAAGCAAGTTTTAAACCTAAACTCAGGTTTTCTGGGAGTGAGAAGCAGTTCCAGCACCAATGAATGACAATGGTGCCATCTGCTGAGTACTACAGTTTCTGCAGGAAGAAGGAAAGCTGGTTCTCAAAGGACAAGCCAAATCAATCCTATTCATCAAAGAAATAAATGTATCCTAGCATAATATTTCGAATGTACTGTAAGTGACGTCTAAAAACTTCCTTTATATTGTTAACATCCCTTAATTTTCTTAACATCTGCATTTTTGCTTTCCTTTGCTACCACCTATTACTATGTGTAGCTTTAGCAGTAATGGGTTGAGTAGAAGTGACTCCAGATGGAATCACCGTAGGGCCAGATGTATTGTCACAACCATTTTTTTGCAACACAAAGAGATTCTAACAGCTCCATTGCAAAAGCTAGTTGATCTTAAAATAAAATCACACTGATTTATAATCATAGTTTTGGTTTGATTTTTCTTTTGTTGTTTCTTCCCAGATGAGTCCAGTCTCAGATGAGTCATGAGATGTTTTGAATATTTAAATAGAGCAGTATTCATTTCAAGTACGTTTTCATCATGAACGCTCAAGTCAAATCCTTTTTACAGCAGTCTGTCAGACAGCCCTGTGCACTTTTGCAACTGCCCACAAGATGGGGTGACATAGTAAACACAGGGACTTAAGAAAGGTTACAAATGAGAGGAGGCATTTTTGCCCATATAGCTAGTTTGGTTGCCAGTTGCTAATTTATCCAATGATCTCTTTCAGCTATTTCTTGAAATAAGTAAGAGTACTGAGAAGATCCTAAGATATTAGATTTAGCAAATATGAATAGTAGCTTGTCAATCCTTTTGTAAAGAGCTACCCCCTACTCTTATTCATCTACTGTGTAGTCAGCAGGGTATGAAACCATCTGATCTTCCCTGTGATGGGTTCTCACACAGTGCAAGATCCTGTGATGTTAACTGCAGTTGGTTTATGGCAAGGGCACCATGTCCTCTCACTTTTCATGGGTAGTTTCAATCCAAATGGACCATCCATACATTTTCTAAGTACTTTATCCAATACAGGGTCATGGGGGAGCCAGAGTCTATCCTGGCAAGAATTTGGCCAAATGCAGGATAAACCCAGGACAAGATGCCAGTCCATTCCAGGGCAGACACAGACACAGACACAAACTCACACCAGGGCCAGTGAACACCCCAGGGATTGAACACAGGGACCCAGTGCTGCAAGGCAACAATGCTAGCCACTGTCCAAATGGACCACTGCCTTTAATATCCCATATCTTTCCAGAGCAGGTAGATCTGCTGCTACCTTCAAAACACTGAATGCCCAGAGGTGCACCAGACGTTGCTCTAGCCTTCTACCTGACTATTAATACTGATAATATATCAGTAATATGTCTGATATTACTATATCTTACTGATCACAACATTTCATGTAGCTGTGGAAGTAATGTTATTACAGCAAAGCAATCCAGGCTGCTGCTGTTTTGCTTAGGGGAAGAATTATGATCTGGCACAAGCTTGCACTGTTGCCAACACTGCTTGACTTCCTAAAAGCAAGTGCGATTGGAGCCAAAGCAACAAGGCTCGTCATAATTTTATTTATGAAATAGAAACCCAGGGAATGTGATCAGGGGAGCTGATAAGGCAGCAAATTATTGTATACAGACTGAACCTAAAGCATGTAGTGGTTTGGTGGTAAAACAAGGGATTAGGTTACTCAAGATGTATCCAATTCTTTCACCCCAGAGGGAACTGTACAGAAAGGTTTATTAAATGGTCAGTACTACTTTCTACAGCTATTAGCCTTTGCAGGCTCTTTGAATATTTAAACTGACACACTGTACATGCTCTAGATACACTGTGTGCAAATTGTACAAGCAGAGGGCAGTATATACAGAGCACAGAGTGCACTCAGTCCCCATAACTAGATATCCATAACGAACCAAAATAAGACAACAGCCCCTGCATGTCGTACGGAAGACAAGCTGACCATTTACTTCTGTGCACATCTAAGAAAGTTTTCTTTTTATTAAATTCTAAAGCTTCTTAAAAAGGAAGCCTTAGATGAATCTACAAGTATTAAAATGAAGGGTTTGGTACTAAGAGAATCATAGTACATTTTACAATTATTAGCTACACCAAGTTAAATTTCAGCAGCAACATTTTATAATCCAAGAACGTTCTTTTTACAACAAAGTGATTATATTTTTCTGAACTTTAAAAACAAAATTGCTTTCAGGCATATAAACAATGCTACTAATAATAATTTGTGTAATTTCATACTTACATACCGTATGCAGTATGAACAATTAAGATGGGACTTAAACAGCACAACATTCTGGAAGGCTTCAATTTGCAAAGCTGTATCATTTTCCATCTTAGGCAATGTGTGAAATTAAATCCAAAGGCCTGTTCTATGTTCTTGTCACATAATCTTTTCACATTTTAATGTGGGAACAGAGACCCATTTATTTCCTTTAATTTATAATGCACGCTTGAATTTCGAACATCACACTGAATATTAATGTATTTGATGGACCCTTCAGTGATATCCACCTGCAGTTAAGCATTACTAATGAATGTCCTTACTGACCTTGAAATTCCCAATAAATTGAAAATTTATGACCCAAATGTAAGTACAGAAACGTAATGGCAGCTCAGTTTTTGCTCTGCTTGTTTCTATTTCCTAAAGTGATACTGTTTTTTTTGATGAGGACCTTTATTTTGTTGAAGTGGTGCCACGAAGGTATGTACAGTCATTCCCCTGAAGGAGTTTTTCCATGACAAGGAGTTTTTGGAGATTATATCTTTGAAAGTTCCTTGCTGATAGGCGTGTTCAACAAGCATACTATCTATATAGCTGGAGAAACACTCTGATCACACGCTGGGTAATCGGCTTATTAATTACATCTAGAAATAACAGAAAACAATATTGGGATATTAATGTATAACAAATTATTTTACAGGACTACCAGAAATCCTTGCAGGAAGTCCATCTGTCCTTTACCTAAGTCAGAGCACAAGACTGCATCAGCGAGTGAGCTGTACAGTAACAAGTAGATAATTCACAAGATGAAAAATGAAAGTTTTACTCTTTAGCATAGAATTAGCGTATCTTTTTTTCTCTGAGAGCAAGTGTAATTGGTGCCTATTGCCCAGGGTTGTTGCTTATAACACGGGAATTATGGACAGAGGACACTTGCCTCCTACATGTCACAAGCATATCTAGAATTGTTTATAGCTGATGAGCTATAACCTCAAAGAGCCTGGTGGACCTGTTCACTATACAGTATCTATATCTATCGTGTCCGCCTAATTATCTAAACTAATAAGGCTTACATGGTTGCTAAGCAACACAACATCCCCTGGAAGAAACGCTGCTCACGTGTTTTCTACCGAATCGCCGTTTGGTCTCTCTGTTTGGAGACAGAAACGAGTCTTAACGATTGTAGCATCTTGTCTTAAATTGCGCCTTAGTTATACAGTGTGCTAATTGTCGGTCTTAGCTCAGGTTGTGCACGTATGTGCTAACAACAGTTCGGTATTGTAGTTCGACTAGTCTGCAAATACCAATTTCGTGATGTTACTATTTAATTGCAAAATACACGCATTCACCTCATTATGCACGTTTTAGCATAATGCGTTAGGAGAGGTATACAAGTGGGTAATGAGATGTTTCGTACCTGTCCGTTGTTCCATTGCGTTTGTTTTATATAAAATTAATGTTTATAAATGTGTTATAACTTCGGAATGCCGATATACAACTTTAAGGTCTTGTAGTGAGGATAGCTAAGAAAAAAAAATACCTGTATAATCGGGACGTGTGGTGTAACTGAAATGCAGTTTAGTCTGAGTCTGCTATTTATGAGGAAAATTCTTCAAAGTGCTTTAAAGCAATTAATGCCCCTATTGCGCCTGCTTGTTCAACTTCAATTCGTAGGCGAGCACAGGCAATGAAAACTTCTATTGAAATCTCGCGTATTCCTGTCAACGCAGTGGAAGTTCCTTGGGCTCCCTTAGTACTCCTTTAAAAGGCGGACTGTTCTAGGGAAGGAAGGGAAAAAAAAAACACTTCAGACCACCCTTTCCACAGCTTGCTGCTATTTGCTCTCCGCTGCTGTAGTGTACATTGCGTTCTGGGTAAGGAATGAGAGGAGCGAATGCGCCTCACTGAGCCGCCGCGACTTCGCACAGGTTCAGCCGAACGGTCGCTCTGGTCTTTCGCAGCTGAGAGGAGACAGCGCTACTGAATCCATGGCAACAGCGATGTCAGGTACAGAGAAAAGGGAATAAATATCACCATGTTTCGTTTTTGGTGCCTTTCTTAATGCAGTGTATTATATGAACGATTTTATTGGGTGCATGCTGCGTACCCTGCACTATGGAAAACAAATGTGTGTTTATTTGTCACGTTTTCAGAAGCGGAGACGCGTCAGAGACTGGTGCGGACGGTCAAGAAGGAGGTGGGTGATTTTTTTTCGCCTTTGAAAATATATCTGAATGTTTATGCATTGTACCTACCTTTAAAAAGCAGGCGAGTGAGTGGGGAAAGCTAGCCCTCTTGTATTATTGTGTCAATTGTACAGTCTTGATGGTATTGATGGATACGACAGCAGGATACTGCACAGATAATGTTTTGCAGCTAACGTTTATTTTGAGGACGTCTTCTTCAGGTGTTTAATTGTTTTAATACTTTGGTTTGGCTGGTTATTGGGGCTGCATATTTCTTTACTGATGTACATCCACCGGGCGTCACAAGAACACACACAGGGACGTTATCCGGGGTGAGATGAAGATCCTTTAGTGCATTCTTGTTTCACAAGAAGAGGGGTACGAATATATAGTCGGTAATTCAATTTCGGTGCCATCCTTACATGTTTTGGAACCGGAGCCACTTTAGTTAAACACCGAGAACATAAGAAGCTTCGGTTAAATGCTATGCAAAGTCAGTGGCTGGGATCTACTACACTTTGTCACTCTAGATCACATTGGATAGTCAAAAGATTTTATTTGAGTCGATTTATTGCTTTTCCGTCAATCAACGCTAAAATCAAAGCAAGGGGGTTGTTCTTGGGTGTGTAAATGATGCGTAGTTTTGCACTTGTGAGCCCACTGTCAAAATGCTGCCAGCTGTTTCAGGTTCCCCTGTTTGTTTTGTTGTTGATGATGATTGTGTTGTTCAGTTTTTTCTATTGTTAAGATTTGATGAGAGAAACTGGGAGCTTTTTGGTTTTTTGTAATAAGCTAGCCAGTTGAATTCACCTTCTTAAAAAAATCTACAGACAAATTTTAACAAGCAGCTCTATAAAATTCCAACATTAGCACCCCTGCCTAACTGTGCTGACCATACTGATGTTAAGCATGAAGATAGTGCATTATTGACACTTAAAACATCATGCAAGGGATCTTATTTGGATTAATGGTTTTGTATTTTCTCTTATTGTAATGTGCTGTTTCTTTGTTAAGCTCATTTAGTGCAATGCAAGTTTATGGAAAAAATACAGTGGTAATTGAAATGGCTGTTTTCTTTTCTTACTGAGCCACAAGGTGTATTATTTATTCATACAGTGTTGCTGTGTACAAGCATGCAAAAACTCCTGACTGCAGTACTGTATGATATGATGCACCCCTCAATTCCACACCCCTTCTAAAAAGTCAATACACCTGACCAGTACATTACACCAGGTTTTCTGATATATTTCAGATTGATGGTCATATATTATTTCATGAATTGGCTGAGCTAGACTTAGAAATGTTAGCAGTTAATTGTATATTCTGGACTTATACGCTCTAATTATGCAGTGTTTCAACTGTAGAGAACGTAGAAGCTTGTTATGACTATAATATGAAAGATGAGGTGAATGCAAGTGTATTGTTTTACAGTTCTTAATGAACTGGAAAAATCTTGGTTCCAAATATACCTGGAGTGTATGTTAGAGATTTAATACTGATCTGTCCAGCCTATGAAGAGTAAAATCACATTACTACTGTGAATATATTTTACATGGAAAGGGACAGATCTGATCGAATATGGTTATGCTTCCTGGGATGTTGGCTCCCTTGTCTATTTCTGCAAGTGTGTTGCAGGAAGCAGTTTTGATAAGAAGAATCCGATTGTGTTACATCTCAAAAATGTAAAGGATAGCTTTGCCTATTTTGAATGCAAAGTAAAATAAATTAAATGCATTTCATAGTAATATGTTATAAATTCAATCCTGCATGTTCAATAAAATCTTCAGAGCACTGTTTGAAATATCATGAAAACGCTGCCGATTGATAGTCATTATAAGCCATAGCTGATCTTGGTCAGTGCAACAGAATTATTTACTTTCCATTAAGCATTTTGGGAAACTTCATTAAGAAACACTTGATTGGAATCATTTTGTTTACACGTTTATTCTTCTGTTGGGTCTGCTTTTTTAGCAATCGGTACCCCATATCCAGCAGATATAAAATACACAAATAACTTCTCACATGGAAACTGAGCTTTCCTCCTCATACCTCAGCCAGGTCTTCAGGACTGAATGGCCTTGCAGACCACATTACCTCTCTTCACACATCTGGGTACTCCTCATTGTTCACTCATATCTACTAGGCATTAACATAGCTGGAATACTGGCACACATTGCTCTTGGATGTATGTACATGACATTTAGCCACCTTGTTTTATCACATGAATAGATACTCCTCATGTATTTCAAATTGTGTTTTGTGGGTGTGTTTTTTTTTAATAGGTACTTATCGAGCCTTGAGGTTTATATACAATAAATATTCTGAAAAATTCTTAATCCAACAGTGATCTTGTCAAGACACTTGCGTTTGTATACATATAGAGAAAACTTTATTACACACAAATGTATTTACAGTACATGTTACAGATTGGAAAATATTTAATGAGGTTTCAAGACATGTCAAACTAGAGTTAAAAGTCAGACAGCAGCTGCTCCCAGAAGCCTGTCTTCTGTTACAAAATTTCTGGCTAGACTAGAACTGATAAGCTAGAAATGTCAATGATTTCAAAGCACATTATAGCACTCTTTTTTTTTTTTGGTTCACAGTATTTAAAAAGAAAACAAAACTGCCTCTGCAAGCGTCTGAGTCCTTTTCCATAAGAAAGCAATATACTGTAAATGTACTGTATATAATCAACGTTACATCTTGTGAGCTAACTGGAAGAAGACAATATGAGACTTTGCGTATGGCCTTGCTATGTTCCTTTTTGCACATGGTGTTTTTTTTAGAGCAGATGGCCTTTCAGTTCTCTCTGAGGACTCCAAACCATGCCCGTATCCCATCTTTTGTAACCTTTCTCTTGCCCAGCAATGAGTCTGCCTTCTTTGGCTGTTTCCTCTGTGTTTGCTTCCTCACTCCTTTCACACCTGTATTTACACAGGGAGAAGGACACTCTCATAAAGGCACAGGATACTGATAGGACTAGCAGCTTGCTCTTTGCTTTTCTTTATCGCAGCTTTTTTTTTTGAGCCTGTCGGTGGTTAGTCAGGTTTCAGGCAGCAACTAAAACATGCTCTTCACTGTGGGCTAAAACGCTCTACAGCAGTCACAGAGGGTCACGAGGAAATGGATTTCTGATCTTGAACTCCTGAGCAAAGAGAGAGAACAGAAAAGGATGTTTTGTGCAGATTTCACATTGTAAAAGGATCTGTATAAATGTAGTCTGTATTGATTTTTAAGTGTATTGTGGATTTGTATACTAATACATGCTTCAAATGGAGTATTGTGGTTTTGAACTGAGTTTGTATTCAGTGGTGTATCCAAGAATGTTTAAAAAACAGTAATCAATTTTATATATTTGATATAATATAATAGTTGAGAGGTTATTATGTACTTATTTAGTGTCTTTTCTGTAAGCGAGTACATACATATGCTGGCTGATACTCATTTAAAGCCAAGAAGTGAGAAAAGGTACTTTGTCTAGGGTAGTATAGCGTTCAGATTGGAATAATGAGTCTTAAGCCTTAACCACACCTCATTATAGCATACAGTTCGTATGTATTTTAATACTCTTGTAACAGGAGTTAGATCTTTTCTCTTTAACCTAATGTAAAAGAAGAAAAAGAGGCCACAGGGGTTACTGTCTCATTGGGAAAGTCCTGGCCGACTAATCCCACCCTCACTCAGCCCGTAGTGCCGCCCTGCTTGGGGAATCCCAGCCACACTCAGCTAGCGGTGTGGCCTAGGCTTGATCACAGGCCTCAGTGTGTGTTCACTCCGAAGGACCCAAACTTCCTATTCACCGACTAGGATATGTTTTGGGAAATTAACTTCAGTGCGTTAACAGAAAAAAATAGTGTATACATTTTAATTGTAGCCTAAACCTCTGTGCTATTTACAATGTTTTTACAGAGGTAATTAGGCTACAGGCTTACACAAATTGTTCTGTTAATGACCTGCAGGTATGATTCCTGTGTGAAATGTCTGAGTATTTCGAATTAGTTTAATAGAAATTCAACAAAGACACTCTAAAACTCTCTTTTATAAAGCTGAGTCACACCTGGTACTGCAATAGTTTTAATTTAAATATCTGTAATATTACAGCCCATAGCCCTGCTGAACCAGCAGATTAATGGGAGATGTGCAAGGACTTTCATTGTCATATTCTATTTCATTTGAGGAGCAGAGCTGGCAGGGTACTTAAATTGTGGCTCTACAAGAATAAAATATTGCTGCCTGCTTTGACCACCTATGACAATTTTATCTATTAAGGGAACTGCTATTGCAGCTTGTTTCACAGCACTGGAACTGTAATATTATTTCAACCTGTCTGGAATAGAGTCATAGCAACTCAGTGAATTCACATTTTTTTCATGGTAAAAATGTCCGTTTTAAAATGTGTGAAAAAATATTTCCTTCTAAAATATCACATGGCAATCTGGCAAAACAGATAAATTCATTTATTTTCTTGATGTAGCATGCCATATTCGCACAGCATGTCTTATATAATCAGTGTATAAATTATGGGTGAAATGCATGCTTTTATTTGTAGTAAAGCAATGTCATCATTGTCATCATTAATTAATTAATTAATTAATTAGTTTCCCTATTTATAGACATGGCATCTTCTATATGCGTGTATGTTTTATAAAGTCTTTCAGATAGGTTTTCATAGTACATAGTACTCTGGATTGCTTTCCATGTGATCAGAGGAATGGAATTGCAGTTCAGACTTCATCTAGATTTATTTTCCTGTATGCTTTTACCTAGATATGATAGATTGTATATGCAATAATAATAGCCAAAGTAAAACATTCTTATATCAACATGTATGCAATGCTTGGGCATCAGTTCTTCTGTCTGAGTGGTTGAGCTGTTGGGAAGCTCTGGAAACCCATCCATTTCTTCTTCTGTGAAAATGGCAAGGATTAGGGACAAAAGGTCTCTTATTATTTTCTTATTTCAGAATGGGAAGTAAGTGGTGTATGTTTGATGTGAGATAGAAGGTTTT